AAATTCATGTGACAGTCACAGAAGTGCACGACTCCATGTTGAGCACCATCCTCCATCCTAATGAAGTGATACTGTGTGACAGAGTCTGTATCTGGAGACTCGATGTCCAGGGAGCAACTCCCCACCTTGGACTTACCTCATCTCTGCAACACCTGTTCCTTACAGATTTAAATCCTTGGTTAAAAAAGGAAAAGTACTGATGATGGTGGTAGGTTAAATTAATATTTCCTACCTATTATTTACCATTTATTTATTTATTTTAAAATACATTTTTATTGATTTCAGAGGGGAAGGGAGTGAGAGATAGTTAGAAACATCAATGATGAGAAAAAATCATTGATTAGCTCCTCCGGCATGCCCCCTACCTGTAACCCAGGCATGTGCCCTTGACCAGAATCAAACCTGGGACCTTTAGTCCACAAGCTGATGCTCTATCCACTGAGACAAACTGGCTAGGGCTCCAGCCCATTTTTTAAAGATTAAATTTTTCCCTGTCCGATTTTTCAAATCATCTTAAATCCATAATGATAAATTTCAAAAATTAACTTTGGTGTAAGTAGGTGAGAGAAGAGAGAGAGAGAGAGAGAGAGAGAGAGAGAGAGAGAGAGAGAGAGAGAAGAAATATGAAAGTAATAAAGAATATGGAAGTTAAATGTTCAAAGTTGGTGTATCTGATAAAGAGCAATATGGTATTATTTACACTATTTTTATTATTGCAATAAATCGAAAGATTGACATTATTTTCTAAGTAAATATTTGAAAATAAATAGTAAGCTCTCCAGGTGATTTTGACACATACTGAGTTTTGAGCATCTTTGGTATAAGGAAAGAAACTAACTTCTCTATCAGATAAAGAGCTCCCAAATCCATAAGAAATGTTTCAACAGGCCAATAGAGAAATGGACTGAAAGATGAACAACTTGTTTCCAGAAACAGAAATACAAATCGCATTTAAATGAAAATATTCCATTCCATTCATAATGAAAGACATACAAATTTCCTAATATAACAATGTATGCTATATTTGACTCTCAGATGGATAAAGATCCAAAACTTTGTTAATGACCTTGTGAGAGTGTGAGGAATTATACAGCTTCAGGTAATGTTAGTAGGTGTGTTCACATGTGTGACCTCTATACGCTAAAATATGGAAATATCTACCAATATAGGTCAGGGATAAGTAACCCAGCTAAAGGTAATATTTTATTTTATGCTTTCACTTAGACAATTTACTCTTTCTGCCTTTCTGTATATGCTTCTTGCCTTAAAACACAGTATTAAGGATGAAGAGATCCTGTTATGCAATACCCATATCTTTTTTCTTTTTCTTTTCTTAAGAGATGAGCAGTGCAATTTAGAGATATATCAGCATTCCATATTTGGAATAGGGAAGTATTTTCAATGTCATTCACTATCATAAGTGTTGAGAAAAATCCTTGGTTTCCCCATTTAAAAATGATGATGAAAATCACCTCTTTCTTCATGTAATAAAAGTCAGGTTAAAACACTTAAATATACTTTAGATCTGTTTCGTAAGCATCACCTGAGGAAATACCACAAGAATGGCATTGACATATTTAACAGATTTGGAGGTAAGTCTACCAGTGAATCTTGGAGCCGTGTCTCTAGGTGTCAGTGTGCATGCATGCAAGTGTGAGTCTCTCTTTGCTTTGCAGAGGCCAAATAACTGAGGTGTTGCCAAGTAGTTAGCACATTCTTATTAGAGTTCTTAAGTCACCAGGGGAAATAAACTTTTCACTGTACTATTAAAAAAATTTGACATAGTATGCACACTAACTAGATACTCAAATAGGAAAACAATGCAGTGTGTCTAGGTAATTATAACTTTATTCTTAGTAGGAAATGATCATGAAACAAAATTCCCACTATGAGAAGATATGATATGTAATTTACAGCACACGCATACAATGAAATGTGATGGCAAAAAAATAATGGAATGTCTTTTTGTAGATTAGAATAGAATAATCGTTTAGAGATAATAAATAAAAATAAAATGTACAGCCGTGAAAAATAACACTATGTGAGTAAAAAAAGAGGGACAAAGAATAAATACAAAGTGGCATCAGAGCAATGGCAGCATGAGATAGGCCCTTGTCCTCTGCCTCTGAAATTTCAAGAAGTTAACCAACTATAATTCAATATACAAATTCCTGCTCAACACAGATGCATGCCTAAGAGACCCGCGCTTTGAAACATCTAAAAGTGGGCAACCAGGAATAAATGGGGAGATGAGAAGAGAGGACCTGCAGATGCAGCCCCTGGCTGGCTGGGAGAGGGGAATATCTGGCGGTAGTAGGTGCTTCCTTTGGCCAGGAGGAACAGAGAGCTGCAGGGGCTGAAGGTTCCTGGGGGTGCATCCCAGCAGTGCAAGGTGTGAGGGAGTGTCTGAGTCAGCAGATCCCTGACAGAGCACATGGTTCTGCCATGCTGCTCCCCAGTGTCCAGCTGCTGGTGGTGTTTCACACAAAGAAACAAAACCATGGAGCCATGCCTCTACTTGGATTTCCAAAACTCACCTCCCTTTGCCTTTGGAGTTGGGTCCAGGAACATACTATCTGTAAACCAAGAGCTATTGCAGGAAAACCGCTGTTTCCCTCTGTGACATCCCCAGGAGATGTGCTTGGGGTGGAACCCCATAGAGGTCAGGGGTTACCATTATGGTAAGGGCAAAACAAAACCCATACCCAAGCAGCATAGCTGTACTGTCTTACAGAAGCAGCAGTGGTTCAAGACTGGGAGATCACAGAGGTAAAACAATCTTGCAATTCAGCACTACCTACTGGAAAATATTAGAAAGACCTCTTCAGAGATAAATGCATAAGCAAAGGAGGACAGCAAATACCACGAACAAGGTAAGTAATGGGGATGACTAGAAAGAAAATGTAAAATCTCCAGAAAGCAAGCTGGAATACATGGAAATATCTTATATAATAAAAGCCCAGTGATGGAAATGGCAAAAGACCAGAATGACCAAAGAGCAGAACAACTGCAGCCTGCAAACCAGCAGTCCCTTGCTGTGGTCAGCCTCGCCCCCCAGCAGGGACTGCCACCCTGATTGGTGGCATGTCGGGGCTGCAAATAGCTGGTGGCCCATTACCTGGTTGGTCCCACCCCCCAGCAGGGACTCCCACCACAATTGGGGGTGTAACCAGCTTGCAAACTACAGGCTACCCTTTTCCCCTGCTGGCCCCACCTCCTGTGGGGACCCCCACCCTAATGCGAGGCATGGCCACCTGTGACCCCTTGCCACAGCTGGCCTCACCCCCCTCCCTCCCGCCAATGGGGACCCCCACCTTGATCGGGGGTGTAGCTAGCCTGAAAACTGCCTGGGACATCTTGACATGGCTGGCAGGCTCCAAACACCTAGGGGTGTAACCAGCTTGCAAACTACAGGCTACCCCTTGCCCTTGCTGGCCCCACCCCTGTGGGGACCCCCACCCTAATGGGAGGCATGGCCACCTGTGACCCCTTGTCACAGCTGGCCTCACCCCCAGCCAATGGGGATCCCCACCTTGATCGGGGGTGTAGCCAGCCTGAAAACTGCCTGGGGCATCTTGACATGGCTGGCAGGCTCCAAATACCTAATGGCAAATGGGGAACTGGGGATGGGTGGTGGCAGGGGGGTCGCCAAGCTGCCGACAGCTGGGTAGGATGGCCCTGATCACAGGCCAGGCCTAGGGACCGTACGCATGCACGAATTTAATGTGCCGGGCCTCTAGTGTGATATAAATGACAGAGATTTCAAGATTGCAGTTCTAAAAGTGCTCAATGAGATGTGAGAAAATACAGACAGGCAATCTAATGCACTCAGAAAACAAATCAATGAACAAAATGAGCACTTTACCAAACAGACCGAAACTTTAAAAAATAACCAATCAGAAATCCTAGAAATGAAGCATGCAATTAAGGAGATTAAGAGTAAACTACCAAGCATAGAAAACAGAGCCAACCAGATGGAGGAAAGGATTCATAATATTGAAGATAGGAATCTAGAAATGGTGCAGGGGGAGAAGACAGAGACTTGAGCATAAAAAAAACAAAAGAGCTCTATGAGAACTATATGACTCCATCAGAAAAAGAAATAATAGAATTGTAGGTATTCTGGAGGGGGAGGAGAGGGAGCATGGAATGGAGAGTCTATTCAAACAAGTAGTGGATAAGAACTTTCCAAACCTATAGAATGGACTGGTTGTTTGAATAGTGGATAAGAAAGTGGATAAGAACTTTCTAAACCTATAGAACGAACTAGATCCTTGAATCCAAAAAGCAAACAAAATTCCTAGTTATCTCAATCCAAAGAGGCACTTGGTATTGAAGTGTCAAGAATTAATGTCAAAGAAAAAAATCTCAAAGCAGCCAGTGACCTACAACGGAAAACCTATTAGAATTTCATCTGATTTCTCAACAAAAACTCTACAAGCCAGAAGAGAGTGGAACCAAATACTCAAACATCTGAAAGAGAAAAATTACCAGCCACGAATAATATATCCAGCAAAATTATCCTTTCAATATGACAGAGAAATAAAGATGTTCCCAGACATACAGAAGATAAGGGTTTTTTTTTTCCACCAGAAACCTCCATTGCAGGAACTACTCAAGAGGGCTATTCTACCTGAAACAAAGATCAAAAGGTCACAACTCTACAAGTAAGATCACCAAAAACTTACAGCATAAACAGGGATAATTTGTGACAACAAAACCATAAAGGGGAGGGGAAAATGACTGAACTGGCAAAGGAGAATGAAGATCAGACACACTCAAAAGAAAAAAGGCTACTGTATATAAGCAAATTTATTTTTTATAAACCTAATGGTAACCACACACAAATCTCCAAACCAGGACACATAGCTTAAAAAAAAGAGGAAACAGAGAGAAGAAGTATGGAATATCACCAAACAAAAACAACAGACAGACACACAAAGGAAAAGCACCAATGGAGGCACAGACCCACCAGAAAATAAAAGACAAAATGGCTATAGAAAAGCCTTATACATATATAATTACCCTACATATAAATGGTCTGAATTCACCTATAAAGAGGCACAGAGTGGCAGAGTAGATCAAAAAACAAAAGTCAACCAAAAATGCTGCAAGAGACACATCTAACCTGCAAAGACAAAGGTAGATTCAAAGAAAATGGGTAGGAAATGATTCTACAAGCAAATAACATCCAAATAAAAGCAGGTATAGCCATACTTATATCTGACAAAATAGAATTCAAAATAACAAAGATAGCAAGATACAAAGATAGCCACTTTAAAATGATAAAGGGTACACTGCATCAAGGAAACATAATACTTCTTAATATTTATGCAACCAATCAAGGAGTACTGAAATATATAAAACAACTAAGCACGGAATTAAAGGGAGAAACAGATCAACACAATCACAGTTGAGGACTTTAATACTCCATTGACAGCTCTAGACAAATCAACCAAACACAAAATCAATAAAGAAATATCAGCCTTAAATGAAACACTAGATGAAATGGACATAGTTGACATTTATAGAACCTTTCATCCCAAGACATCAGAATATACATTCTTCTACAGTGCACATGGGACATTCTCAAGCTCAGACCATATGTTGGGTCACAAAACTAGCATTAAGAAATTCAAGAAGATTGAATTATACCAAGCATATTCTCAAACAACGATGCCTTAAAATTAGAAAGCAGCTGCAAAGCCGGACCTGCATGCCTCCGTGGTTGAGCATTGACTTATGAACCAGGAGGTCAGGGTTGGATTCCCAGGACACATGCCTGGGTTGCAGGCTTGATTCCCAGGGTTCA